ATGAGGAAGGGTAAAAGTGAGAAAACTCTGGGCTGAGGTAAAATAGTTTCAGTAAAGTAAAAGCTGCACACACAAGCAAAGCAAAATAAGGAATTCCCATTGATGGGCGGGGCTTTATCATGCATAATGGTTACTTGGGAAGACAAAAACCATCACCCTGAACATCCCCCCCATTCCTCCTCCACCCAGCTTTTATTGCTAAGCACGATGTCATATGGTATGAGAGATCCCTTTGGTCAGCTGAGGTCAGCTGTCCTGGCTGTGTCCCTTCCCAGCCTCTTGCCTACTCACTGGTGGGGCAGTCTGAAAAACAGAGGAGGCCTTGACACTGTGCGAGTACTGCTCAGCAATAGCTGCAACAGTCCTGTACCATCAACACAGTTGTTCGTAAATCCAAAACACAGCACCATACAAGCTGCTATGAAGAATATTAACTCCATCCCAGGAAGGATGCAGGGAGGTGAAAATAAATTTTAAAAAATCCCTCCATAGGAAATAGAAGCTTTACTAGTTCTCTTGCTCTTAAAACCATTACGATTTCTCTGCAAAGTGTTCACTACAACAGGTAAGCTGCAGGGAGAATCACCTCTGTACATGATACTTCATCTTATATGGTTAATGATAGAGGAAGTGAGGAATTTTAGTTTAGGTTGATTTGATAGGTTTTCATCCGACACTTCAAAAGATATAATTTTTTCCCATTAAAAAACATTTTGACTATTTAGAGGGGACTAGTTTGTTAACTATTTCTTCCTCTCCAGGTTTGATCATTCTCCTTGTGACCCAACAGTCACATTACATGGACCCCCAAATAATGCTGTTGCCTGTGTGATATGCTGCAAAAGATTTTCAACCTCTCAGCAGTACAGTGATCATCTTTTATCTAAGGCAAGATCATAAGGATAAGTAACTCACCTGACTGAACATAGGAGAGGGTTTTCAAGACTTATAATTATGCACTGATTTTTTTTTAACCTTCTTTCTCTCCCATCCCTTCTTTTAGTCTTCGAGATATTTTTTCTTATTCTGCTGTGTTTCAAACACCTAGTGTATCCTGACGGTACTCCTATTAGATCTGACCATTAGGTTGTACTTTCAAGAGGATTGTAGTTCTGTCTTGAACCTCTTGTCCCTCTATTCATGCTGTGAAAAGGTATTCCCTTTTTTTGCATCTCCAAAACTATGAAAGATAAAGGCAAGTAGTTAGGGTGAAATAAATGATGGTAAAGAGAAGCAGCAGAAAGGAGATGGGGGAAGAAGAGACAACAGAATGAGAAAAGAAACTTGGGTGATTCAGATGCAAATGTTTCTTCTCTGTTTCTGGTCTGACAGATGTTTGCTGCTACTCACTAGTTAAATTACAGAAGGGAAAAGGATAATCTAGCATTTGAGTTTTGATTTGAATATAAGCTAATAGTATTTGCTTTTTTGGTGGTGTTCCTCCCTACTTCCACTCTTGCACTTTTTTTTTTATAAGACTTTCTCTTTTCCTTTCGTTCATAACTTACCACTGTAAAACCTCAGTTTAATGACAGATCCTCAGGTGTTGTCTTTAGGGTGTGTGGTTTTATTTAAGCAGTCTGGTGTTGAATTGGATAATGGATAGTAGTTTTGAAGTTTAATGTTGTAATAACAAATACTGTTGTGTAGCCACCTAGTCTCCAGAAGCTGTGTTAAATTCAGGGGAAGTTTTAGATACTCTGAAAATCGGACTGCTTTTGCTAGTAGTAGTAACTCCTGATGCATAGTCATCCCTGACAAGCTTGAAAGATTGCATCATAGTTTGCCCCTGCTATTTTTCCATTCCTTCCAAGCTGTGTGTCTGTGGTGTGCCTTAGGGCTGTTAGCAGGAGTTACAGATAGGTTTGGTGAAAGGGAGTGGCTCTTGCAGCAGGCAAGAAGATGGGATTATTTTGGTGTGGAAGGATGGGGAGATAATCCTAAACAAAGCTGTGCAGGAAAGCATAAGCATGTCATGAAGATTCCTTGAGTGACATAAGAAAGGAGTAAGCAAAAACATCAGAAGCAAAATTAAAAGATTTTTGCGCTGAAGGCAGAGATCTGAAGTTGATGTAGAAGGCAAAGGAGGTGGAAGAAGTTGATTTTATAAAAGTCACTGGTCTGTCAGGCTACTCTGAGGAGCAGCATTTTGAGAAGTTGGAGGTTAGCAAGATTAGGGAAGAACCAACATGAGGAAAACCAGCTGCTTTAGTGACAGAAGGAGCTTTTTCTAAGAGCCTGGGTAAAGGGACTAGCTAAGAACTGATGGAGCCCATAGTTCCTGAGGAAGGTGGTTGCTCCCAGTGGTGCAAGAAGGGAATAGAAAAGTTGCCAGTGGTTTAACTGCAGCCAGCACCTAAGCACCACACTGCTGCTTGCTTAATCTCCCCTGGCAGGATGAGAGAGGGAATTGTAAAAGTGAGAAAACTCATAGGTTGAGATAAAGGCAGTTTAATAGGTAAAGCAAAAGCTGTGCACACAAGCAAAGCAGAACAACAAATTCACCACTTCCCATGGGCAGGCAGGTGTTCAGCCATCTCCAGGAAAGCAGGGCTCCATGACGTGTAATGGCTACTTGGGAAGACAAATGCCATCACTCTGAACATCGTCCCTTCCTCCTCCTCCTTCCCCCAGCTTTATATGCTGAGCATGGCATATGGTATGCAATATCCCTTTGGTCAGTTGGGGTCAGCTGTCCTAGTTGTGTCCCCTCCCACCTTCTTGTGCACCCCCAGCCTACTCACTGGTGGGGTGGTGTGAGAAGCAGAAAAAGCCTTGACTCTGTGTAAGCACTGCTGAGCAGTAACGAAAAGATCCCTGTGTTATCAGCACTGTTTTCATCACAAATCCAAAGCACAGCCCCATGCTAGCTACTATGAAAAAAATTAATTCTATCCCAGCCAAAACCAGCACACCAGCTTAGTAAGGATGAGTAGCTGAGTTTGACGATGGCAGTTTGGCCCGTCCCTTGTGTCTCGTGAGCTGAAGTGCATAGGGGTAGGCTGTAGATAAACATTCTAGTGGTAGCTGAAAACCTAAGAGTGAAAATATTACCACAGAAGCAAGAGGAATGGAAGGACGTGAGGAGAACTGGGACTGGTTTCTTGACTTAATATTTTTCCTAACTAGATCATTTTCTCTTCCAGCTAAATGAAAATGATGGACATAAAAAAGATCTCCCTCCACAGCATATTCAGTGTTTTGCATGCCCAAACTGCTTCCTCCTTTTCACCAAAAGAGACGAATGCTTGGAGCATATGTCAGGAAAGAACCACTTCCTCCAGGTTTCTAAATTGAGTGGTATGTTGCTACTAAGTGTACTTCTTTTCATTTATTCTGATAATTGATCCTTATGATATGAAACGACTTATGTTTTTCTACTGTCTATAAAAGCTTAATGTTTGTAAGTTGGTTTTTAACGGATTCTTATTTTTAAGTTCTTAAATGTGTTACAGTGCTGTAAGAGGAGATGCTCTGAAATTCGTACTTTTGTGTAGAAAAGATTCCTCCATCACAGCTGCTGTGATGAGAAGCAGACTTTCCTTTATCTCCATGCTGTCAGGTCTCTCATATAAGTTTCTCATCCTCCAGTGATACTGTGCAACTACCTAAATAAGTTTACATTTAGCATGTTGATAGGAACTCGGACCAAAACACATACATTTCTTTTTCAATTCCAGTCAGACTGGCCGTGATGTTCCTTCCCCTCACTGTACTGTCTGAAGTCTATTTTTGTCAGTATCCTTGGCATTCCTATTTCTTCTCCGTATAATTGCAAATTTAGCCTGCTTAGCTGGAACAGTGCTGCCAATCTGATGCCTTGCACTGGCAGCATTGCTACTGAAGGCTAAAATGCTGGTTATGTTGTGAGCTGATAACATCCTGAACAATAGTTACTAGATTCCACAGAAGATATCTGTCTGATTATGGTCTGGAAAACAGAGTTAATGACCATCATAGCTGTAGTGACTTTTTAGCTTTGACGTAAGCAATAGGCATTAAAGCATCTGCTTTAATGTTAAGTAAATGACTGAGACGGATGAGGTACTGATGGAGTTGACTTCTTATTCAAGAAGCTGCCATATTTTAGATAGTGTAGCTTTCAGGATAAACCTACGTGGCAAAAAGGATTGGTATGGTTATGAAGATGAGAAATAACTGTATCTTCTGCCCTCCCCCAGCGTGGCTGCAGTAACTGTACAGTAAAGACAGGTTTTGAAGGAATCTTCCTGCAGGTCGAGTGAGTGCTGCTGTCTTCATGGAAGTGACAATCAGCTGCACGGTTCTGAGTTCTGTTATGTATTGTAAATCTAATGTACTTTTATTCTCAAATGGGTTATTAATTTTGAATGTGCTGACTGTAGATGCCTTTAAAATCAGGCCGTAGGTTTTAAAAAAGATTACTGGTGAGCTGTTGCTTTGAAAAGATTAAAAGCACAAAATAGTGTTTTCTTCTTTAGAGATGGATAGCGTGTAGCTCAGAACAAAAAAAAGTGCTCCATTTTTCCATTTGCATTGGTAGGTCTTCATGATTAATATCAGCATGGGCTGTAAGATCTGGAAGTGAAGTTGGTCGAAAGGCATAACCTCAAGTTACTGCCTGCTGATCATCACATCTTACTAAACAGAAAATTCAAAGAGAATTTGCCTCCTAATATGCAGAACATTAACAGCAATATAGAGTTCTCTTTTCAATATTTTTTTTTTATTCTACTGGTATCTGGAGTTAGTCATGGAGTATGTACTTGGAACAACAGCAAGTCCTGCACCTAAAAATTTAAGAAGAATTAACATTGAAGATGGGAAAGAGAGAAATGGCCAGAGTATGTGGGAACTTGTTAAATGATTTGTGTCTTTTTTAAACACACTACAGCTTTAAACAAAAGTGTATGTAGTAGGAGTAGACAGGTGGTGATAGATGGAGGGGAAGAAAGTCAGTAAGAACCTTTCTGAGAGAAATGTCTGACCTGACCTTGTAGAAGGAAGAAAAGGGAAGTAGAGTCAGTCACTGAGTGTGAAAAAACAAGATGCAAACAGATTCAAATATGAGATGGTTAAAGAAGTTTAAACAATTAATGCAGTTTTAAAGCTTCCATTGAATAATTACTGTGGCTCAACTGACACATGGTAACTTGCTTTCTGAACGCTGTGACAAATGAGTGCATACAGTACTATGTCACCTGAGAGCTGAAATACTATGAAAGAACTCTTTAACGCATGGTTGCACTTTCTGCCATTCCATGTTACAGATGAAATGAAGGCTGGCCTTCCTCTACCTTTCCCATCCTATGCAAAGAACCTTCTGATATCTCTGTGCAAAGAAGTCCCTTTCCAAGTAAAGTGTATATCCTGCTACCAGATACTACGCTCGCATATGGAATTAACAGCTCATTTCAGGTTTGTAAGAGACAACTGTCTTTATAATGTGAACATCCATGGATTGGTAACAGATAGGCAGACTTGTTCTTAGTGGTGCTAGTGGCTTTCAGGTCATCTAGGACCCGTTTGAATGTTGACTTCCTGAGTCAGCTATCCAAAAAACTGTCCCTTTTCCATGTCTTTTACCCCACCTTACCGCATACAACCCACTGCAGAATGCTGATGGTTGGCTGTATTTTTTGTTATTTTCTGTAACAGAACAACAGAACTTGGTCTCTGTTCTGCTGTTTCTAAGGTGGCAGCATTTGATTTCTAAAATGTACTGAGTCAACCACATAAGCATCAGTTGAAGTGCTAGTTTTGGAAATTAGCACCTAATTCTCTTTAAAGTGCAGAGACTAGATAGGCATTGCGTGTTTTTGTTGACAAGCTAGTAGGTGAGTTAGTATTCCACATGCTAATTGCTGTAGCACACCATTTCCACATGCTAATTACTGTAGCTACTATATAATATTTCAAAGTACCTCTGAAAGTTTAAAAATGTTTCAGGTTATGATATTACCTCTTTTTTTTTTTTGTCCATTCTAGAACACGTTGTCGTAATTCTGGGCCTGTGGCACTGTCAAAGAAGAGCATCTCCCAAGTTGCAGAGATATTTAAGACAAAAGGTTACTGTGAGAACTGTGATGAACTGTTTGCTGATAAGCATCAGATCACCCAGCATAAGCAAACCACTCAACATAACGTAAAAGTTCTTAGTACATTGGAAGAGTCCATCTTGATGTTCTGTCATATCAATGGAAAAAATAAAAATCAGTCTCATTTGTGCAATATTGTGGATCGGTCAAGACCTCTGCTTAAAAGACGTTTGACTTCAAATGAGTCTACCAGTGAAAGAGGGTCTACTCCTTCAAAACGGAAGAGTGATTTAAAAGTTAAAAATGAAGATTGTGGAGCAAACCAGAGTCAAGGTAGCGAAGACTGCAAAGTAAAAGCCTGGTTTTGTGAATGCCTTCAAAAGTTTTTTACCGAAGAGTCAGTAGAAAAGCACATTTTGGCAGCAAATAGGATTTGTCACAAGTGTGCTGTGTGTGGAAAGCTTGCTGAAAATTCAAGCATTATCCGCCTACATATGAGTCGATTCCATGGGGGAGCGCACTTGAATAATTTTCTTCTGTGGTGTAGAGCATGCTCTGTAGATCTCCTCAGAGAAGAGGATATTATGGGACACGTGACTGAATTTCATGGTGGACATAGTTATTATTATGAGCAAGAAGCTCTAGAAGATGAACCTATGCCTTCTGCTTCTGACACAGTGTGCGTTTCTGCAGGTGAAAGGAAAGGTGCCATTCCTCGTCCTGTGGAACTCTCCCCTGAAAAAAGCCCTATTCTGGGAAAATGGCAATGCCGCATTTGTGAGGAGATGTTTGAATCTGAAGAGAGCGTTAAACAACATTGCATGTCCTTAGAAAGCCATGCCTTTCACAGATATTGCTGTGGCTTATGCAGAAATCACTTTCGGAAAGTAGGAACATTACAGCGACACTTCCAAGAGCATAATAACCAGGAGATACAGACTAAATACTTCTGTGGCCTTTGTGGTAATCTCTTCTTTGACACAGAAGAAGAATTTCTAATTCATTATAAGGAGATTCATAGCACGGACTATGCATTTGTGCCTGAGCAGATGGAAGTATCAATAAAAAAAGAGGAAGACTTCCTCCCAGTAGAAAAAGGAGACCTTTTAACATGTGGTTGCCGGACAACTTATGTCTCCAGAATGAACAGGAGGAACGATTATGTGAATTGTCAGAAAGCCATGCTGCAAAAAGGAAACTTATGGTTTCGATGCTGCTCCTGCTCTGCAACTGCACAGAATTTTGCTGATATGAACAGTCATCTCAACAGTCATACATCAGCAAAACACAAGGAAGAAATGTATGTTGTTAGATGTGCTGCATGCAACAAAAACTTTGACGATCTTCAGAGTGCACATCAGCACTATCACATGAAACACTGCTTCTTGCAGAAACCTGATTTATCAAGTCTTGCATCAGAATCGGAAAATACAGTATTCAAGTTCACAGCAAGTGGGGCTTGTGTGGACAGAAAACCTCACAAGCTAAAACTTCAAGCATCTCCATCCAAGAGACCACAGTCGTCTCCTCTGCAGGGACCAACACAGGGAAAGAAGGAAAAAAAAGAAAATTCAACACACTCTGAAGAACCTGGTGAAGGTTTGTAGAATTTTTTTAACATTAGAAAAATATTCTTGTGTTTAATACACTCTGTTTGAATGTCAGTACAAGTATGTAGCATACCATTTCCTTACTTCCATTCTATAAATCGGCTCAGAATTTAGTATTTCTTATTTCTCAAAGCTACATTTACAAGTCTTGGTATTTGAGTTTCCAGAACTTGGACTCAACAGTTTATTGCTATATGCCATATGCATGAAGTCTTTAAAAAACCAAAAAGTAGGCAGATGAGAGAACCCTGAGACTGAAAAACTTAATTTCCAAATTAGTTGGGAGCATAATTTGTTGTTAAAAGGAGGACGACAATCAAGGACTCAGATACATTTCTAGGAGATTTCTAAGTGGTCTATAATACACGTGCATTCAAGAGAAACTTGCCTCTTTTGTATGTATAAATATTTATGAGCCTGGTAGTGCTTTCTGTGTGGGCAGTCCTGTTATAACACCATCTTCTCAGTTTCCTTTAGCTTGCCAAAAATAATTTTGGCTGAGAATTTATTTTCTCAGTATGTATTAGGCTTTTTGCCTTGAGCATGCAAATATTTTTTTTAAGTTAATACCACTCATAAGAATGACATCAAGAATGCTGAAGGTGTACTTTGTGTTCAAAAATTGGAAGTATTTTTAATTACTCATGGTGTCATAATGCCTTTGATTAAAAGGTTGTATGTTAGATATACAGCAAAAAGTATGTGTCAACATTTTACATGCTTTTATGCATGTAAGCAATTAAATGTCACAGAGACTTGCCATAATAGGGAGTGCATACTTGACTATTAAGTGGAATATTAAAATATCTCTGTGCAGGACAACAGCTTTCTGTGCCTGCCAGAAAACTATCCAGCTTTACACCATCGTATTGCTAGGTTCTGCTTTCTTCTGTCTGATTTGTGTGTTACTAAATGCTACTTCAGTTGATTTAAAAACAATATAATCACTAAATAGGATCATGTTTTGTAACTTTTAGCTTATGGAACAGTTGAATACCTGAATTTTCAAAAGCTTATCTAAGTTGATGTATGTTGGTTGACCAGAAAGTCAGATGAACTTTAAATGTGTCTCTTTTATCCCATTGAAGATGAACTTCCTGATCTTGACTACCTCAGTACCATGACTCACATTGTGTTGGTGGATCTGGACAACTGGGGAAGCTTATTCACGCAGCTGCCAGCTAACCTGAACCAAGGGACGTTTATCTGGGGTTTTCAAGGTAAGAAGTGGTTGAAGAAAATAGGAAGATAAGATTAACAAGTCTGCACAAATACTTCAGAAGAGATTCTTTAAATCTGAGAGAATGAAGAACAGGAACAAGCAGCCACTAAGGCTTCTGAAGTTACAAAGTCACAGACACCATGTAATAGAAATGTTCTTGAACTCTTCTAACTCAATCTTAACCTCTTCTGCTCTTCTTACTCCTTGTAGAATATTGTTCCAGAATTGCTGAACCATGTAGGAGTGTTTCTGGCTTCCCTGCTGAAAAGCTGTATCATACTAGGTTTTCATAATTATCAGGACAGCCATAATACTCAGAGATTATTTTCTCTCAAATTCCCAAGTCCTTATCATGATGTTCTTTTTCTTCTTAGTTCCAAAAGGCATGATTTTACATTCTTGTACTTGAATTTTATTCTGCGTCTGGCTTGCTCCTTAAGGATGTGTGGTGGGTTGACCCTGGCTGG